CCCTAACGGTCATGGACACAACTATAAGGGTCAGTAACTGTTTGTCATCTTTGAGAAATGTCCATCATTTATTATTTTGAGCATTTGAAGTATTGAATGTTGATCTATTTTAGCATGCATTGATGCTGGATTATTAGTTATTCTAATAACTAGAGTTATACTTGTGTTAATAAACCTGGTTTTGTTTTTTCAGTTGAAGTTTCCGTACGTGGAAAAGTAAGTTGTTGTTTATGACTGATACACTCCATTAATATTTTCAAACTGTTCACTTCATAAATTATGTGTTAAATGAGCCCTGCATCATTATTAAAACCAAAATTCTTTGGCATTCCTTTTGCTATTCTTTTATTTGTGAATTAGTTAACCCTTAGAGCGCTAAATGTAGCTTTTTTTGCTCAATGATGTAAGATGTCAAAATCAAAGCTGTTGAAAACTTTTCGACAGCACAAGGTAATTTAATGTATATATTTTTAAAATTTATTTTGGCACTCTAAGGGTGAATGATGGGGGTGCGGCAGGTTTACATGGTGTATGACACTATAATTTCAGAATTATGGCATTATTGTATCTTCCTCAAAATTTAGGTTACTATTGAATAAAATCATACTATCGAATATAGTGTATCGTTTTAGGGGATGAAAACACATAGTATGCCTTCATACAGGATTAGATCATTTTAATATAGATTACAACTGTGTAACTGCTCTGTATGGGCCTATTGTTTAAGACCCTGTTTTGATCCATTCGTTGTCAGATCGACCCCAGTACTGGGATGGTAATGAACCTGACCGATCTGAAGAGGTGTATTGAAGTAAGTCGCCCAGTGGTTTGCATAGTTTGAAGTGCCTCAGTATCTGGAAGTTTCTGCGGGTTTGTTTCAGACGGTGATCAATGGTATTCCTCGTAAGCAAGGCGTTCATCTTTAGCTTTAACTAATATTTGAGTGACAGTTTATAAACCAGTGGCCAAGCAGGCCTTGAACAAATAAAGTCAAGCACCAAAACGAGCTAAATAAAACTGCAGTGAATGTTTGAGAGAGGCTTATTTATTCAAATAGTGTTGCGAGTTCTGAATTTGGTATGGTATGGGAGGTGATCATTATTTAAGAGTCTATCTGGGCTTTGTCAAAACTAGAATATAGTATCTGTTATATCTTGATACAATTGTCATCCAGCAATGTCACTTATTTTTTTTTTTTTCTATTGGCTGCATGTCCATGTTTTGTTATGCACTGTTGACTTTATTTCAGGAAGTCATCATGATACCGCTTGATCACAGGAACCTGGATAAAGATGTACCATATTTTGCTGACGTTGTGAGGTATGTGCTTGTTTTTAAGCAAGTGTTAGTTTCTGTTTTCTCTTGTACATGCATGTGTATGTGTAATGTGTACGAATTTTCCCCTAATGTTTAGTACTACGGAGAACCTGGCTGTGTTCATCTGGGTCAGCATGGAGAAAGTCCTCCCACCTGGCCTGCTGTATGAAATCAAGATACATGAAACTGACAATAACATTTTTGTGTATCGTGGAGAATAGCAGTGTTGTGGCATTTGGAAACAGAATGCATTTTTGCAAATGCAAATATACGTGCAATAGCTTTTGTTCTGATATATCCTCCAAATGGTATTGAGACACGATAACATGATTCCATTGTATATTTCAAGTGTCAGTTGGAGGTTTTTTTTTGTCTTTTCCGTCTAGATATGATCTGTGAAGAGCAGCATTGTGTACCTGTCAATGTTTAAAGTATAATTCAGTGTTCAGGCCAACCGCGCTATTCATCTATTAAAGAAGTGAAGGTGGAATGTTAACAGCAGAGGGCGCTAGTGCCCTGCCCATGTTGGACTTTTTGCGATTTGATTTGCAATGCATTGGGTCCAAAGGCTGCTATTATTAGCAGGGAGTGTTAGTTGCAGAATAATGTGTGTAATGAATCTGTATTTATGAATACTGGAACTGTTTTTAAACTGAAGACTAGATGAGCATTTTGAATTATTGTGTTTAACTTTCTGATTAAAATAAAGGTATTTGATTATTTGATATTGACACCAGTGGTGTTGGCACATCTTTTAACCCCTCAGGCCTGAAAGAGCGTGTGGGGCATTGTCATCACGCACGGCGTCCGTCTGTCCATCTGTCTGCCTGTCTGTCCACATGTCATTCCATGCGATAACTGAAAAATGCCATCACCGATCATCAGGATTTTTGGTGAGGACATCAGGGTAGGGTTACTACACAAGCCTTTCGATTTACGGTCACGATCCAAAATCAAATATGGCTGCCAGAGCCGCCATCTTGAATTTTGTATGCCGCATGATAGCTTGAAAACGCCTTCGTCACTTTATATTTATTCCAAACAATCCAGGGGCTGAGGGGTAACGCCCGCTTTGTGGGGCTATTTTTCTTGGGTTTAGTGCAGGAGATTCTAGTTCATCATTCTTCCTTGAAAAATCAAACACTACATCTCAGTTTCAAAACTAATTCGCAAACACAGGTGAAAGCATTATTCTTGCCTGGAATAATGATGGTTAAATTAATGAGAAGTATTAATTTGTGCCATTTTAAATTTAAAACCAGAACTGAGGTATTATTTCACTTTATACTGCCCAGTATAAAGTAATCCGCATTTTGTAGTTTCGCATGTACAGTCAGATCCATAAATATTTGGACAGTGAGAATGTTACCGTTATTTTAGCTGTCCACCATACCAAATGCCATTTCAAACCCTCTTAACCCTATTTTTTTTTAATAATGACAAACCTGAGTCAAAGTTTACTGGTGCTTGCGCTGGTAATTCCAAAACAAGTGAGTTCTGAAGAGGCTCTGTGTCAATCAGTGAATATTCCGAAACTTAGCTTTTCAAAATTATGATTATTTACACCCCCAACTCCAGAAAAGTTGGGACAGTGTAGAACGGGGCGCCCCAAATGTGACCCCTCAATACAAATCCAGCCCTGCTTTTATCTCCTTCCAGGCAGGTAAGTGAACAGTCATTGCCTCTCACTGGCCAGAATGACATCAGATCTGACTCCCCGGTAATGAAAGGGTGGAAAACAGCTGTTCGTGGCCCCATTTGGGGAGCCCTGTTATAGAAAATGATTTATGCCTTCACTTTCACTTGTGTTTCATTAGAGACAGTTTCAAAACAAAATAGTTCGTGAGGTCAGCTTCATTTTATGTGTAAACACATCAAGTTCTGCAATTCGGGCCTACAATGGTAAAAAAAAAAGTTGGGATGCAGGCAGGGATATGGGCAATTAAGAAGCAGTACTGAGATTAAAAAATTGGAATTAAGTGATGTGATGTGAAACAGCAGATGTCTGCAGGTGATTTTAATCATGATTTTATGGAAAAGCTGCAGCCAGGAATTGCCGAATTCCTCAGCAGCAGAGGTGGCCCAGGAATCGACAATTTTCCCACAAATGCATGAGAAAATCATTGAAAGGTTTTAAAACAGTGTTCCTCAAGGAAGATGCTCTGTGCTCTGGACCAAAGGAACAGGATGTCCCAGACTGTTGCCGAAAACCAGTCCAAAAGCCATGCTTTTGAGAGAAACAAAATAGGAATATGTCAGTCAGTACAATTCTTGCGAAACGTTAGTGTGATTTTGTTTTGTTTTCAACGTAATGCAAGTGAATGATAATTAACAAATTACTGCTTTCAGTTTTAATTTTAATTTAACACACCAGCCAAACTTTTGGGGTTATGTAACAAGACGAAAAGACTAAATTGAATGTTCACTTGCATAGATATACAGTACTGTGCAAAAGTCTTAGGCACGTTTAAAGCAATTTCTTAGGGCAAATATGCTTGCAAAAATTATGAAATTAAAAATTTCTAGCTGAGAAATGTAGTTGTACTAAACAGAGCTATAGCCTGTTACAAACTAAATAAAATCAATATTTGGTGTGACTAGCCTAAGCCAAAAAATTTGGGACACTGTCGTGTTGTGCTGTAGTTCTATAAGGTGATTGGCTTTTTGCTCGTCCCAAGCAGAGTGGAAAACTTGCCACCGTTCCTCTGCAGACTGACTGTCTTACTTGCGTCTATCCCTCCTAGAAATTATAAACAGCTATGATGATGTTGACATCAAGGCTCTGTCAAGACTATAATATCTGTATCGACTGTTATTAAGTGAATACAAACATTTATTTTTGAAACTTTTCTTTAAATTAGCATTTGGAATTTCTAATCTACTTTTTATCTTCAGGAACTCTGATATAGAAACAAATAGTTACCATCTAATACGGATTTGAATTTTTAAAAAGTGCAGGGTGCCTAAGACTTTTGCTCAGTACTGTATATATATATATATATATATATATATATATATATATATTTTTTTTTTTTAATTAAATGAAAATAACCTTGCACCTAGATTTAGAGCTCGTTCCATGAGCATTTGGTGTCCATTTAGTCATGTGTTTGCTGACACTTACTGGTTAAATTGGAATATTTTGCTCTGAAACTTAGATGCACTTCTATGCAATATATGCTTGGCTGTGTTTGAGAGAAATATAACTTTTGCCTATGCAACCTCATATAAATGACATTCCCACTGTCATTAAATTTGAAGGTGAATGTGAAATACAACTACACCTTTAAGAACCCAGGACTGTAGCGCCATGAGCCTCAATCAGACTGCAACCACAGGAAAACAGCACTAGCTGTAGCGATGAAGGTGAGGATATCATCAGGTCTAGTCTGGGCAGGCAAGTCAGACCCTCTCTCTGTCCGTCTTTCATCTAAACTGCTTCCTCCCCACGAGGGTCGCGAGGGAGCAGAAGCCTATTCCAGCTGACTCGGGGCGAAAGGCAGGGACCCACCCTGGACAGCTCGCCAGTCCGTCGCAGGGCGCACACACCATTCACTCACACCCACGGGCCATTTAGAGTCTCCAATTAGCTTGACATGCATTTCCTAGGATTGTAGGAGGAACCTGGAGAGCACAGAGGAAACCCCTGTAAAAAGCGGAGAGCATGCAGAGCCTGCACAGGAGGGCCCATGCTGGATTTGACCCCACAACCCTCTCGCTGTGAGGGAACAGTGCTACCCACTGCACCACAGCGCCGCCCTGCAGGCTGGCATTAGTTCCAGTCATTAACTGGTGTTTTAGTTTTTAACTCAACTGGTTGTTGACCAGCTGAGTTGTTAGATAAACTCAGTGTAAACTTGTAGTCGGCAACTGAAGCTGATGAATTTCCATGTGTCACGTTAAAATAAGATTGTGCAAGATAATTGATTAAGAGCGGAAGTTGACACAAAATCCTGACCGTGTGGTCATTGGTTTGCATCCTTGGTTTGAAATGTGACGGACAATGCAGTTAGAATTAGTAATTTTGGTCAAATTACACAAATATGAAAAGCAAAATCTCACAATGATTGCAACAAAGCTCACACCATTTAAAATAAGTGGTGCTTTATACTACACTGAATATTAAACCTAGCATGAAGACTTCATTTAAACCTACAGTCTTGACCACATATTGAGATGATTGTGTTGAGTCGCAAAAGCACAGTAATGGATGTGACGACCCTGGAATAGATGTTGATTCTTTTAACATCATAATTTATCTCAGGAATGAATGAGGCATGATCTTACGTTGACACAAACCTTTAATTAATCAAATTCCGAAGATGTGCATCATGTACGTAAGTGCAGATTTGGTTTGAGAAGCTGAGGCATTATGGGTAGAGGGGTGCTTGAGTGCGAAGTGCTCTCAGCCCTGCCATTACATTCAAATGGCAAGAAATAAAAGCAAAGCAGATACTTTGTAAAAGCCTGTCATTACAATACTGTTTCGTACAATTTGGCTGGATTGCGCCTTCATATAACAGTCATCCGTATGTCTTGTTATGCACTGCAACAAACTGCAGCTGCCATTGTTTGCTTTTATTCTGTTCTGCCTGTCATGGATGCTAAACTGCAATATACCTGAAGATTAAAGGGGTCAAGTAACACACTGACAACAAATAACGCAGAACAGAGCCAGGTAATAAGTTTGGAATTTACCCCTGGAGAACCGGGAGTGTTCTGTTGGGTGGGTTCTTCAGTATCATGATTGACGGGCATTCAGTGGATCCTAAAAGCCTTGATGATGAATTTCCCCTGTAGAAGAGAGTCTGTGTGCACTTTTCAGGTAGAGAGAACGAATCAGAATGGGAATTGCCCTTTTAAAATATTACTTGATTTTCTTTTGGGAATTTCATCAACAGTTCATAAAAATGTGCGGACAGTGTTCTGAAGCACATCAAGAGATGCGTTGCTTGTCATTAAGTGCATATGCAGCTCAGACAAGGGCACCATTCATTTTGAGTGGTTCGATGTCAGGAAATCATTGTCCGCGATACGCTGAATTAGACTTTAATGGTGATGCACAGTAGACTCATGAGTGGCAAATTTTTAGTTGGTTTCTATAGCACCAGTGACAGTGTAAACCCTTAGAACGCTGAAATAAATGTTTAAAAAATTTAAATTGAATTATCTTGCACTGTTGAAAACCTGTCATGTGACAACTTGTTTAAAAGAGCCCCCTGCAGAAGCTCTTTTAAACAAGTTGCCACATGATAGGTTTTCAACAGCTTTGATTTTAATATCTTACATCATTGAGCAACAATAGCTGCATTTAGCGCTCTAAGGGTTAATAATCTATTTGGGTGCAGTTTTTTTTCTTCAATGGGAAGCTTTGAGAATGTACCTACACATGAGTCTATTATAATGCGTAAAGGTCATAAAAATATATGCAATATGTCAACTGGTTCTTTACCTTAAGCACAAGTACAATGGCAGCTTACTATATAGCAGTATTAGTTTAACCTGCACCTATTTCAGTTCACCAATATATCCCAGACAAATATGCCATACTGATGTATTTGTATTGATCTTAAGCCAGAAATCTGTTTTGTGGTGAATCTGTGATTTATTAATCCCATTCATGACAGTGCCATGGCTTGGGGCCAAGTGTTATTCATATTTATTGTTTGATGAATTGTGACACGTCCAACTGTAAGTCATTAGGCAAAGGTAACCTCTCTGTCATTGACTTCAGCGGCATGTACTGTCTTGCTGGATGAACCACTGTGAGGCTTTTTATGAATTTACCTGTCCTTGTACCTGGGAGTGTTGCATTTCAAGTGTCCTTCGAGGTATTAAAAACGCAACTAGCAACAATTTACAAAATTTTGTGCAAATAATGTACAAACTACAAAGGAAAAAATATAGGATATCTAAAGCAGGGCAATTTTCAACTGGAGTAAAATCACGAGGCCCTTTTGTACTTGTCTTATGACCCAAAAGGATACTCAAGCAACAAAGAGTCCAGAGTTTTTACACTGTGATGGCATTCAAAAGCATACATCCATCTCCCTGTAGATAGCAAATGCTACAGTGTGGTTATCAGTCAGTTAAGTTGCGGTTACACACTCAGCATGTTCAAATTACAAGTGAAGTGCTCTTCACACATGGCTGCCATGCAGAACATGGACAAATTATTAAGTGTTTGTGATGAGCGTGTGCTTGTGAGGTCTTTCATCTTCTGGATTTCATAATAATATCATTGGCAGTACAATGAAGAGACAGATGCTGCGTCAGGACCCTCAGGAGAGGAATGGGTCATGATAATCTAATAAACGACCTGTCAATCACTCATCACATGACTCTGGAGCTCCGATGAATTTAGAGTTAATGACTCTAATAATGAGTTAATGAGTCTGATCATTTGTCAGCCAATGCATGGAACATTCAGAACTGTCTCATTTCTGCTCATTCTTGACACTTTTTTTCAAAAAGGAAAAACTCACCGGCCTCCTTTGAGAGCGAAGGCATGAATGAGCCTCCAGCCATCTCCTGTATCTCACGTAAACACGTTTCCTCTGATATATTCCTCCCTGAAGCCCCATCTCCGGTTTGATGGAAAGATCATGTCAGATTTTACGATGTCGGATGGGTTTGGACACCGACGGAGAGCCGTCAGAAGCGGCTCCATCACACTGACGTCCACATGAAGTCCTGGAGCCAGGTTTCCCTGCAGAACGTTTCCCAGAGCGTCATACTCTGGCCACTGGGGTGTCTTGGATCATCTCCTACCCAGGTAAACTGCTGAATATGACGCATAAGGCTCATCGGCCCATGTGACCTTCTACCATTGCTCCATGGTCCAGTTCTGATGCTCGGGCCCAATGTAGGCGCTGCTGATGGTGGGCAGGTGTTAGAAAGGGCACTTTGACCCGTCTGTGGCGATGTAGCATCATAAGCAGCAGGGTGCACTGCCTGGTGTGATCCATTCCTCCTGTAACCACCATAAAAGTTTTTCGTGACTTGTGCCAGGGAAACCCTTTCGTTGGTTCAGACCACATGGGATACACTGTAAACCCTGATAGTGTAGGCCACTCAAATGTTTTGTGGAAACCAACTGCTTAAAAAAAAATGTGTAAGCCAACTTTACTGCCTCGAGTGACCAGCACTCAAAAAAACATGGAATATATTTTGAAAAGCTATTTTCCCATGTCTGAAGTGCTGTGAACACAAGCTGATTAAGTTGACTTACAAAATATTTTGAGGTAATCAGTTTCCATTAAAGATTAGCGCGCACCACACTATCTGGGTCTACTGCATATCCTTCCTTACCTTCACTTTGAAGAGCCTCGTGCACCAAACACCCAGCTGCCAGTGTGTGGTTTGTACCTCCTCGAGCCGCGGTCGGTAGGTATTCACCACCGCTGGCCAAGAGCGCCCCACAAGCTTTGCCACCTCGGTGAAGCTCCGACCGAGTCGTTGGACCATAACGATTTGACCCAAGGTGAAGTCGCTCACGTCCTGTTTCTCCTGCAACAGACACATCAACTACGAGAACAACTTGCTCACTTGCCATTTATGGTCGTTTTACAGAACTCGACATATGCTGCTGCTTCAAGATAATCAACGTTATTTGCCTTATCTGTGACTAGTCATAATGCTCTAGCTCATTTTTGTGTGTCTATAATAGCATGCTACATAATTCCCCACTGACTGGCGACTCCAGGCTCTCGAGGTATACTTTCCATTTGATTTCACAAAACTGACATTGACGATAAACGTGACAGTCTTGTGTGAGTTTCCATACACATTCACTCATTGTTTTAAGTGCTTTTAAATGTGTATGTTGGCAAGCAGTTTTCACATATAATTAATATTAATGTATTTGGTTCACTGCATCTCAGATGGCTTGTCAGACTCAGCTTTCTCTCCGGGTAAAGAAATCATTAATGCAGTGGCCTAAAGACTTTATTAATTGATTATTGAATAGTCCTTGACAGCGAATGGGCTCATTTACATAACTCAGCATTAATTCCATCGCAGACCATTGCATGCTTAGTAACTCTGTAACTGTAAGTCACTAAAATACCTTCTTAAACTTTAAAACTACATTCTGTTTTATGGTCAGCTGTGTAGTGGAAGGAATACACAGTTATACAGCGTATACCTGCATTTTTTTCTGCTAATTTGCAGTATACCCTCCTATCAGTGAAAAAGCCATAGGAGAGTGTACCCACCTTCTCCTTAGTGATGTACCCATCTGTATAATGAAGTTTACCCTCCTCTCCTGGGGCCACTGCAACACTGCTGCTTACAGTCACCTAAACTGTAAGGTATGTTGTTCTCAGTTTGTGATTATTTCTTTTTTTAAGTTCTACTCTTCATGTATGAACACCTGGTACATCTGTTAACCTTGGTCCTCATCATTTTGAATGCAGCTGATCAACAAGATATAATAATGAAATCAATGAGCAAACCCACACGCACAGAATATTCTGCAAAGCATTAAAATGAATCAATAATTATAGAAAAAAAATGTCCAAAATATTAGTAACATGTTATTATTATTGGAACCTTGTAACTCAGTCTGAATCACATGCTGCTACGATTCTATCAGTTTCTTAGAAAGAGCAACAAACTAAACAGACTGTGAATTCCCTTCTGACACGATGAAAATTTCACCTGGCTTTGTGTCAAGAAAGAATTTGCGCACTGGCCTCATTGGAAGCATATGTTTCAAGTAAACTAAAACAAAACTGCAATTAGATATTATAATG